TTTTATGCCGAATTTAAAAGCGGTTTCGATAATTCTGTCGGTAGACAACAGACAAGCATTAAGATTTTTCTTTTTCAACGTTTTTTTTTAATCAATAGCTTTTTACTAAAAATTACTTTTTTTTAAAGAATAAAATTAAGGTTTTCATGGTGAATTAGTGTATGCATTTTTTGATATGATTCAGCTAAAATGTAACCGATTTTTAAGAAAATTGTTGGTATGATAGGTTCATAAAAAAAAATTAATGTAGAGTACTGATTGATTCGTTCAAATTTTTTAATATGTAGTTGAAATGCAATAGAGATCGAAATGTGTAGTAATTTGCTATGTAACACTATTTAATATTTGATTAGTAATATATTTATATATATAGAAATGTTATGTTTCTAATGGGACATATATAATTACTAGTTCTAAAAATTAAATATAATGCTTAATTAATTGTATATAGTTCTTAAAATCCGGCAATATTGTTATCAATGCACTTAACAATAAATTGTTAATCAATTATTTTGTATATGTTCACTTACTTTAAAGCAAGCCTCTATATGTCCAATGCTCTGATTAGAAACGCAAATGGATGTAACAATATTGTAAATAATATTTGTATTATTTTTTATGTGTATATAAATTGAACAAATGAATAATAATGCAATTTTCTAGTTCACCAAAAAGCTAACACAGTCGTGGTGAGTTTCTATTTGTAATGAAAACAAAAGCAAATCAATCAAAAAGTTTTTAAACAATTTTGGCAAACCATCAATTCTTGTATTTGGTTTAATTAACGCGATAATGATTGATATGATAATGATTGACATATAAAATATTTTCGCACAAACAACAAAAAGTCAATCAAGAGTTTTGATGAAATTATATTTACTAGCAATGTAAAGTAAAACATTTCGTCTAGAAAAATTATTTTTACTAACATTTTTACAAAGGTTTACTCCATATTTAAAGCCTGAATTAAAAAAAATTATTACACACTAAAAAAAAAATTATTTTTCTGGAACCACATCACATTAAAGCGTTAAGTGTAAAGAATGAGCTTAACTTTTAAGTCTAAACTCTATATTCAGACAAAGAGAAATGTGAATAAAACATTTATTAAATCAAATGTGCCGCAAAATATGACAAACAAAAATACAACCAGAAAAAGAAAACCGAATAAAATTAAAATTATATTATCTGTATTTCAATGTACATTCTACTAACATACATACATATGTATGTATAGCTACATACATATATAGTATATGAGTAAGACGCATTTGTGTGGATATGGATAGGTATCCATAAAAAATTCATTAAAAAACAATTACAATAACACAAAGATGCCGCTTATAATAAAATTCACACAAAATCAAAATACAAAAAACACTCAATTAGTTACTCTCAATCCATCAATCTTCAAAAATACACTCATTACCTACAAATGTATCTATAAAGTAGCCGCCGTATAAAAGTAAGTACAGCACTTCAAAGATAAACTTTAGCAAAGCACTTGACTTTCAAAGTATTTAAGCGCAAAAAAAGAGATAATAAAAAAACATTTTTTTAAAAATAAATAAATAAAACATATTGTATTTGAGAAATGTTGAAAAGTAAATAAAAATAATTCATAAATTGACAAAATTGAAATTTTAAACTACTTGTGTTTACACTGTTGTATTTGTTTTTGCAATTGCTGTTTTTATAATTGTTGTTGTGTGGTTACAATAAATGAAGACACTTAAGTCAAGTTAATTGACGCGCCTTTAGTGTCAACTGATTCAGTCTACACGTCTGCAATAAATGTATTGTATAAGTAGCTACATTTTAACACCTGAGCCTATTCTCACCTATGCACAGCAAAAGGTCTCTTAACATATACGTATTATGTTCAAATTTTACAGAAAAAAGTTAAGACATGAAAAGTATCTTACAGATACAATGATGTGGTGCTAAAGATAAACAAAAAAAAAACTTTTTTCCAATGATTTTCGATATTTTCATGTATAATATTTTTATGTTATTATTTTTTCTTTTAACAAAATGCAAACAAACATTAAAGTTAGAAATTACAAAATATGCCTTTAATGAAATTGTCTTTTTCAATTGTCAATAAAAGACAACTACAACAACAACAACACCAAGAGCACAATGACAATTTAATGATAAGAGCAAATAATGTTGATAAGCAAACGTTTGCTTTTGTGTACTTGATAATAATAATAATAATAATCATTATCATTAAAGAAATTAACATCATTTTCGTTTAAGTTCATTTGAAATTATTTATACTTTTATATATCCAAATTATTGCTTATATACGTGTATATAATAAACATTTTCAGATATATTGTATAAATACTTCTAGAACTTTATATAACGCATAGATCGTAAACTTTTGAGGAAATGCCATAAATATATTTTATAATTTTATAGCATTTTTTTTACGAAAGTTCTCAAAAGTTTTTATTTAGTTGTACCTATTCTCGATTTTTATCGTTTTTTATCATAATAAAACTATGTACACATAGTTTTGCTTTTAACAATTTACGCATTTTATACTTAAATTTTTAAATGAAAATTTTTGCTATTTTCGTTGACTTTCCGAGTATTATTTACCACCAACAAAAAGTGAAGAGTGATATCGTAACGAATGAGATGATGTTATTAATGCCCAGATGACAGTTGTTGGGATAAATGAAATGAAAATGGATTCGCTACAGAACGAGGAAACCATGTAATTACAGTACCTAAAAGTACACAGTTGGAGTTATGAGTTACAACGAACTATCTGTAAAGGTGCAACTGTATGTTGCAGAGAACTACAAAGAAGAATGGAAGTAACATTTAAAAAATTTCTGTATTGATTTGTACTGTAGAAATGGCTTAACTAATTAAATTATATAAATTTATCATTGCATGTCTAATTGGAGAAAATGTCATATGATCACCAATAAGTAATGTAAAAAAACTCATACCGAATATGCGAATTAGACTACCCACGATGTAGCTAATTTAATTATTGTTTCTGTTAATTAACAGAATAATATATGTTAGAAAACGTTAAAAGTAATTATTAATAGTAGTAGTATTAAACAATCGACACTATTTTCAATAATAGAATTTATTTATTTTAAAAGCGGTATATGACAAAAGTGAGATTAGAATAAACAATTTTTAAGTTTATATGAATTATTTCATTTTAAAGTTTTTTTTTGTGAAATATTCAAATTTATATTAAAATAAAACATGCTAGTTCTATTTAATCATAAATTTTAATTAAATTTAAAAGTGTTTATTTTGTCTATATTTTCATCTTTAAGAAGAAGTACGTCAAAATTTCTTTTATATAATTTTTAATCCGGCTATAGGTCCCTTTATGTTAAATAATTCAACGTTTAAAATTTTTTATTATATTCTATATTTCGACTCTCTTTGAGAGTCATCATTAGGATCAGATTCTAACATAAATTAATATTAATAATTCTATATCTACGGTATTCTCTTTATTCTATCGTCTATATTGAACAAAAAATTAATAAGTTTATATATTTTTTATCATTTTACATTTTCGGTCGATTTTATGTTTATTTTAAAACAATGCTATTACCATCTTTAATGATCATCTTCAGGAAGACGATCATTTCTAATACCTTTTGTATTTTATCCTGTTTATAACGCTTCAGTTTTATTGGTCTTGCAGCCAATATGAAGGAAATTAATATTTTGACATTTCGAAATCTGTTAGCTCCAACGAACTTATTGACAGGTCATTGACAGATCGTTGACAGTACCGCAAAGTTTGACATTTTGCTTGGCAAGTATAATTTCGAAATTAAAAAGCATAAAAATTAAATTAATTTTATATTCAATCAAAAAATCACATGGAGGTTAATTCAACATTAAATGTTATATCTAAATATTGTTAAGTTTGCTATTAATATGATATATGCTGCTGATTTTTATCTTAATTTTGAACAAAAGTTAACTTTAATCTCTTATCTTTTTCAAGCAAACTGTAACGTTGGTAGAACGTACATCAATATAACGAACTAAGCATTTTAATAGCACAACTTTAGTTGTTAAAATAATGTATTTTAGCACATCAAAGTTAAATTTTTATCTATTTTTCTATCTATTCAGTTTGTATTGCAGTGTAAGTTTTTACATGCGAAACTTAAAATTTCACGATCACGTAACTTCTAAGAATAAATTTAATGGCCCCGCAAGTGTTTGTTTATCTGAAGTATTTGATCTTTTTGGCACAATGAAGCAGACAAGCAGACAGATACATTTCAGTACAAGAATAGATACACGCACTACGCATCTCGAAGTTGTACTCTGCTAAGAGTACGTGTTTAAGCTATGCACATTTAATTGCTACATAAACAGACACAAACTTAAACATCAATTAAAGAGCGCTTAAGCACAGCTCAACTGGCGATTTCAATACGCCAAGGCGGTACATTTGAAGCACACACAGCGACTGTTTTAATACATTAAGTAAAAAATTTAAATTGACAAGCTGCAAAGTTCAATTGCCAGGGTAAGCGTTAACAGCTCTTTAATTACTTTGCATCAAATCGTATATAATCGTATTTCTATATTTCATTTTGTATGAGATCATAGCTCTTTTAAGTACGTAACATATAATGCAGATGAGTGAACACGTATCGATATAACTTCACTTGGAATTGTTTTTTAAACTTACCCTCAATTCTGCTTCCAGCTGATTTGTATGTCCCGCCAAATTTGGCATGGCCGTCATATTGTAACCGAGTCCTTGACATGCCGTCACTGTTATCCTTTGACACTGTAATCCATTTGTGGTTTGTGTGGCAACCAAACCGGCTGCCAAGGTCTTTGTGCACGTTGAGGTTGCAATAACAATAAAAATTATTTCAAGACGTAAGCTAAACATCTTGTACTTCTTTCAGTTGTTGTTGTTGTCGTCGTTGTTGTTGTTATTGTTTTTCGTTAAACGTGTTCAGTTAATTTATTTTTATTTTATTTTACTAAAACACCAAAAATATTTCAAAGAATTTTTTTTATTTTAATTTTATGATCTTGCGAATTAAACAAAGTGCCGCTTGAAAATTAGCATCTTTTTGATTTGATTTTCTTAAGTAAACAAAACAGAAA